CTTGGCCTTTTAAGGCCCATTGATATTTAAATTAAGTATAGAATGTTCTAAACATTTTCAGAGCATTATATATATAATTTAACATCCCCAGAAACATTTTCCACCTATATATAATCAATCAGTAATACCCAATATTACATGATATTCACCGAAACCCTTCCGGTGACCCTGAAACGTTTCCAGAACCTCTCAGAACTATTCCGGATATTAATGAAACAATTCAACAAATATATTCTCGTTAATCATGTCCTACTAACACTCAGCAGATCATGATTACCTTAACCTTGTGACCCCATAGGTTCGGTAAATCATAGACATGAACGAAAACTCGTTTATTCAAAGACCGATAGTGGAACCGTGGACATCCATATCGGTCCCTATGATTACACGAATGATATTCGAGTGAACCTTTGGTTATCATGTGATGTTCCCTTTGCTTCGTGATACTTTACAAAACCCGTTGTGCATCAGTATCCTCCTGAGTCATCACCATGCTCACTATACCGTTGCTCCTGTTACCGGTTTTGTTCTTCTTTCTCGTTAACGTGTTCCAGCATCCCCGTGACATAGTCGCCTGTGTCTGGCTAGACGATGATGGATGTCGTCACACCGAGAGGGCCCTAAGAATATCTCTCCATCGTCGGAGGAGAAAATTCCACTTTTGAGCTATCTGAACACTTGTCAAACTTTCCAGTGAGCCTGAAAGTTGTCGTTATGATCACCTTGTTACAGATGACATTTGAGCAACCCCAAAGCCCACCGTCTATTAGGAAGTGAAGAAGACACTCCCATTGTCTGAGGATCTAAAACACATGCTAACCATTTCATGTTATAACAGATGATTTCAGACGATATAATCACAAAGTATAATAGAACAAGTATTGGGTCGATTCAATATGATTGTTCTTCTAACGTCATACCCTCAATGTTGTTTTAGGACTATCGTTACACTTAACGATGTCCTAAGGTCCGGAAAACATGATCACCAACAACACTTGAGCCAATCTTAGAGGCGAGACCGGGAACCTATCGTTTATCATTTATCATTTCACACGTGCATATGAGTTTTCCACTGAATCACATATTCCAGGATCATAGCAGTTATAGCATGAAATATAAACTCTTAATTATGAATAATGGAAATATAATAATACAATATTATTGCCTCTAGAGCATATTTCCAACACTTTTCACATCGATTTGATATAGAAAGATATCATTGAAATTAGCATATGCAACAAGAATGTGAATGGCCTCAAGGCGAGCAACAGGTGCATATGTTTCACCAAAATCAATACCTTCAACCTAAGTATAGCCTTGAGCCCAAGTTTGGCTTTATTTCTTACAACAACCCATTCTCATATTGTTTGTTATGGAAGATCCATTTTGTGTCGATAATATTGTGCTTCTTAAGATTTGGGCGATCGACCAATTCCCAGATATCATTTATCTCAAACTGCACCAATCCTTCTTGTATTGAATTCATCCAACCAAGGTCATGCATAGCTTCATCATACTTTATGGTTCTGAAATATAAACAAAGGAGAAACTCCCCCCAAAAATGTGTTAATCAATTACGGGAACAAGTTGTAGGACCTGGACCTGGATTGTTTATGTCATGGAGAATCAAGTCTGCGTCCACACGGTTTGCTACTCGACACAATGGAGGATTTTCATTTTGCTAATAACGGTTGTCAGCATTTCTTTCAGCATTGGCATTATTTTCGCCATTTGCATTTTCCTTAGGATTGCCATTATCTTCGGTATTACCATCATTTCCAGCATCACCATTACCATCAGAATTGCCATTGTTTTCCGCATTTGCATTGTGGTTGGCATTGGCATTCTCATCAGCAGTAGTTTGACGAGTTCTTCGTCGATAATCAGGGGCATCATCAGCAGAGGATTCCGAAGCATTTTCTACAACAGGTTTGATACCAACTATAGGAACCAAGTATGTTTACTAGAGGAGGTGAATGGGAGATTTAAAATTTCTACAGGAAACTTGAAATATCTCAAAAAGAACTAAACAGAGACTTAACTACGAAAGAAAACTACCGACACAATTCATAACGATACAAATCAGGTACAACCATCAAAGATAAATTACATGACTAACACACAGCAGATGATGAACAACCGAAAGTATTTCTAGGTAAAGATGAAACAAGTGGTGCTTAATGGCGACAAGGTATTTCGTAGACCAGTTCACTCTTTTGCAAAAGAGCTGCATCTGGTTGGAGGGACTTGTGATTTAACACACAAGATAAACTCTCTTCGTCATGTTCTCCTCAAGAACAAGTTCATCAAATTGTGTCTATTACTCTAGGTAGATACTTCAGGGAATCTCCAAAACCTTCATAGATTGTCTTCATGAACCCCAATGACTCTTAGTTGCTGAAGACTTTGACGCCTAACCATCTAGAGAGTTAGCAGCGCTCAAGAGTAATAGGCTGTGTGTACTAAACTTAGATCTCTATGATGCTAAACCACTATCTAGTTTTTCAGCTGTATGGTTTTCTCTCAGTGGATTTTAAACTCAAATCTCTCAAGGAGTGGGTGCTCACACAAACTGTCAGCCAACCATCATGGTTGGAATGGGTGGCTATTTATAACTGGAGCAATCCCAAGGGGAAAATGACCATTCAGGACATGTCGTCTAGCCAATGGCCAACCGGCACATTTCCAACGGTCCTATTTCAAACGCATCCGGTAACTTTGCTTGAGGAACAAGCAAATCTCACTCCTCTGCTGAAACATATCTTCCGCAGCCCACAAGATCAACGTCCCTGACTTGCAAGTACTGTATCGAGGCTGGAAGAGATTTCTCTCAACTCTCATAGGTTTCGGTTTAGCATAAGAGAAACATAAGTTTTGAAACACTCAACCCCGCTTAATAGTATGGTGGTCCTATGACTCAAATAAGAGAAAGAGAACTACGAAAGAAAATACTACATCTTTTCTCTGTCTTCTTTATTCTTGGTTGCAGTCAAACACACGAACCAAGTACCAAAGCAATTGCTTCACGTCAATTTTAGGGGTCACTTCCATCACGCAATATCTTCGATATCAATCTTCTATGCAACACAGATGATAATCTTTGGAGTTTATAGCAAACTCCTTAGTACTTCAGGGACCTAATTTCTCTATGTGGACTAGCAAACATATTAGTCCCTCATTGTTTCCTTCAACAATCTCCAAAACATAAGGAGGTGAATTATTGCACTAGAAGGTATCTCGAGATTCCTCGGAGCCTCCAGGACAACCTACGTGCCAGGGTTGCAAACCTTCTTATGTCCCCTAGAGGTGCCCCGGAGTTTCTGGACCCCAAACCACATCCGGACCAACCTCCGGGCTGAGTGCAAACCATTTGTTGTACCATGGATCTTGCCCCGGAGCAACTGGATCCTGAACCCTCCGGCCTCTGCCCATGAGCAGTGATTGGGGTGAAACCCATGTACCATTTCCTTCCCACTTACCCCTTCATGACTTAGACTATAAATAATCGTCCCCTGCCTGCTCATTAGGGTTAGCAAAGTATGTTGGACTAAAACTAAAGAGGGATTTGCTCATCTATCATCTTCTCTTGGAGTTCAAGGCCTCCATCAGGAGAAGAGTCCCAAGGGATTATCAAGACCTCCTCTTCCTCTTATGAATTTGGGGAAGACCACATCCAAGACCTTATCTCCCTAGTGGATTTGGAAGAACTTACCCTAATACTTATTCCCCTTCTTGTTTGTGGATCTTGTGGTACTTGTGTGGATTTGCTTAAAGAGGGCATGTGTGATTGGATCTTGTCTTGAAGTGCTTGTTCCCTTTGCGCTCTTGTTTGTTCCTCTGATCTATCTCCAAGTGTGAAAGATTGGGCCACTTACGACTTTGCCTTACATCATAGCTCTTGCTTGATGTAGGGGTGGGGCAACGAGGGCGCAACCAAGCCACGCTCGCGGTGCGACTTCTCGATCACGAGCCACATAGCATGGAACTCCTCATCGGTATGTGTCGCCTCTGTGAGGAGGGGCGACGGCTGCTGTTGGTCGTCGTTCGAGGAGCAAAGCACCACCTCCTCCTTCATCGACAGAGCGGTGGAGGATGATGGCCTTGAAGATCGTGGACGCGATGCCATAACCCGGAGCTCCCTTTGGATCCACCCGTCGGCGCCGAGAACTAGCCCTTGTCACCAGACTTGTCCATCGCTTGGTCGAGGAGAGGAGAGGAAAGGAGAGGCGAGGATGGAGTTGGTCGATGCAGCCTGCCTGCTTAAATAGCCTGGTCAGGTGGCCAATGTCGCTTCAATGTAGCGCAACGGTCAGAGTAGGCTTCTCGGTAGCCTTGTGAACATTAAAGGGGCGCTACCCTCCCATCCAGTCACGTTCGTCTAACTACCATTCACGCCGTTTAGTCACATTCACTCTAAAGCGAGAGTGCGGCATGAATGCGCAAAAACGATCAGCGCGGGACGAGCAACGAGGACTATGGTTGGGGCCGGGCAATCAAACGCCTACGTAACGCAGGTCCAAACGCCAGTTTCACGTCCGGTTTGTGGGAATTCGAATGTACGGACAGGTCCGCACTGTCCACACGTTTAGCGGCGTTTCTATGCGTCGGAGATGCCCTAACCATCGCGTGGCCTCCTCAGGTCAGGGAAGCCGTGTAAGCTTCAGGCCTCCAACCAAACACACTTCCTGCAGGTCTCCACTCAAAATTTGGTCAGGGTGGCTGGCAACCAAACAGCCCTTCTTCAAACATAGTTTCAGAAGTTTGTACCGAAGGTGCAGGCGTGACAAGCGCCTCCACGCGGCGGCAATCATGGCCGCGGCCCTCCGCCCCCTGCTCCGCCGGCACGCAGTTCTGCCGCCATCTTCGATGCTGCGCTCTCTATTCCCCGCGCCGTACTCCAAGGTAAGATGGTTTCGCTGCTTGATTTCCCTTGGGCCCTCTCCTCGACTGGGCGCGCTAACTTCGCTCCCCTCTCCAGGCCGCCGCCGCCGCCAGACCCCCAGCCGTGTGCCACGCGCCCCTGCCGCCTCCCCTTCTGAGGGAGGTTACTCCAAGGAGGGCTCCTCCAATTCCAAAGGTAATGATTTGCATAGTCAGTTACTCCCTCCGTTTCAAAATAGATGATATAAAGTTAGTACAAAGTTAAATCATCTTATTTTGGTAGCGAGGGAGTAGAAAAGAAAAGGGTTCCGACCTCCCAAGTCCACCGAAATTGCTGGTCACTTTCCCGAACTCGGAGAGGTTAGAAGGAATTGGGGGTGGAAATGAAATCATTTGCTTTTGCTTTTATCCCCCAACATTTAGGGGTTGGGAGATATGTCGATCTAGGCCCTGGCTCTGTCCCTCCTTTGCTTGTTCGAGAATCGAGACTTGATTTCATTTCTTTTATCTGCAACCTGATGCCCACGCTGGACTGGACTCTCGAAAACCCTTGAATTTCTTGCCTTCCATGATTCAATGCATAGCTCAGGCAGCAACTTCAGTTGGCAACTATGTACTACCTTCAGTGTAGCTATGGGGCCGTACGAATTCTCTGTGATTTTGCTTCAACTGGAGGCAGCATGATTCAGCGAGAGCACTCTCCAAACATGTCGCGTCAATAATTTACAGCAGAGCCAGAGCGCCATGTGATCGACAGTGCAATTGACACTGCCCGCGTCATGTTCCCGGGATATTTGTCCTTTGTATTTAGCCTTCCTTCGAAAGGCCAAACAGAGAAATACCTACACCTGGGGAATTACTTTAATGCAAATGTAGCTGTCTGATTTCCTATAAATGCAGAAATATGAAGTTGATATTGATTAAGTGTGTTATTTTTGTTAACATGATTTGAATGGTTTACATTTGACATTGATGTATCATCTACTTTTTTTTACTGAAGTCGATTAAAATGCAGGGTGAACCACGCCGCTGCACTGCTGTTCAAAGTACCATGAGTGACAGTACAAAGTCGTTGCTGGATAAACTGAAGGATCTCAAGGACAGTAAGAAGCCACTGGAAGACATGGAAAAGAATATTAAGGAGCGTAGGGAAATTATAAAGAAAGCGCTGCATGACTCTAGGGTTGCTAATGCTATGTTTAGGGTAAGACTGGATGGCCTTAGGAAACTTCTTGCCAAAATACGTGATGGCCGAGAGGATTCTGCCAGAATCAATGCAATATACCGCAGATTGGAGGATGACTATGACAAAGATTGGGCCATTCATGAGTCTAAGGGTCGCTTGATTGACGAACAGATGAAAATGTTAAGGAAGGAGGGAGATGACTATATCAATGCTTTGAGGTAAAGGGATTATAACAATCTGTTCTCATTGGCGTAAGAAGCAATTTATTATTGTTAGTTTTGATAACTCGTGTTGATCCAAACATGTATATCTCTTGTGTCTATTTTGGAAGGGAGTATCATGAATTGCAAATATCCATCCTGAAGCATGCGGAGGAGGTGGAGGAGGCGGAGAAGGTGGAGGAGGTAGAGAGCATGGAGAAGGTGGAGGAGGTAGAGAACATGCAGAAGGTGAAGAAGGTTGCAAAGGTGTGTGCCGCTGCTGGCCTCATGGGAGGGCTTCTGGTGATACTGGGAAAGATGTAGATTGGTTTTGTGTAGAACTGAGATGACAGATATGACTAAGCTGAGCTGGTATTTGGAGTAGCAGAGTAACATTTTACCATTTCTTGGTTTCTCTCTGTGTGCCGTTGTAATGGTGCATTCGTGGGAAGGCTTGCACGGATACTAGCAAAGATCTGGATTAGAGGAACATGGAGTGCTTCTTTTTGTTTTGGAGTGGCCAGATGACTATGTTGAGCTGGTATTTGGTGTAGTGTGGTAGTTATTGACTGTTTCCTTGGTTAGTAGTCTGTGTGCCATTTGTGGTGCTTTGTTAGAACCTGCAAGAGAAGCCAAGAGAAAGCCAAGTGATAGGATTGTCATATTGCAGTTGTCTCTATGTAACCTGAAGGCTTGGCTGACAAAAAGATGTGTTGGGGGTTTGTCTTGTGCTTACCGTTTGGTATCCTCATCTACGAATGAGGTTTGCTTTTGTGATGAATCTGAGCACCTGCAATACTTGGAGAAGAATTTTGCAGACTTGACTAGTTGATATTATGAAGCATGGACAGCTGTGATGGGAGGGTAACGTTTTTCACTGAATCTTACTTGTGGCGTGAGCATTTCTTCTTTTGAAAAGGGCTTCCCTCTAATTCAAATTCAGTGAATAAGTTGGCCCAGATTCATCCCCTTCTAAAAGAAATTTGCCTTATCTTCCACTAAATAAAATAATAAAATTTAAATAGTGTCTTTACTTGTTTAGCTTTCTAGAATTGATAAGCACTGCTGTCAAATCAAATGTGCAGGTTGCTGCATGAACCTCTATATGAAACTACAGAAGTGACGTACGGATCAGTACACTTGACAGGAGTAAACTACAGAAGAACTTCGTATTTCAAAAGACAGGTGAGGGCACTCCTCTAAAGTTGGCTAATCTACTTGCAAAAGCAGATTCCATAATAAACAATGTAAGTACAGCACGGCGGCACTTGGCAACCAATGAGACATTGCCATCTGAACTTGCAGGCATCAAGTTGATGCCACACACCTACAGAAACACTAGAGTTTGAGGCACAAACTAACAGCACATGAGCATCCAACTCTAAAGCTACAGAATGATGGTGGCTAGCTAGATTGATGAAAGATCCTCGTATACAGACTTGATCCCAGGCCTTTCGGAGACCGGTCGGATGCATCTCAACGCAATGCCCAGCACCTCCTTCATGCCCTTCACCCCCTGCGGGTTCTCCGAGTCCGAAGCCATGGCCGGGTCAAAGCACTCCGATTCTTGGCCTTCCGCCACCCGCAGCCGCACCCAGTCGGTCAGGTCGAAGCCGCCTTCAGACCCCGTGATGACGTCGCCCGCGCATCGGCCAGTCAGGAGCTCCAGCAGCGCAACACCAAATGCGTAGACATCAGACTTGAACGAGGGGGATGGCTTCTTGGATGCCGCCAGCTCCGGGGCACGGTAGCCCAGCGCCCCCAGGTCGACAATCTGCTCGACGACGCCGGCCTGGGTCATCAGGCGGTGCAGGCAGTAGTCCGCGACACGGGCATTGAGGTCAAGGCCGTCCAGCAAGATGTTGGTGGCCTTGAGGTTCCCATGAGGCATTGCACGGTCGAAATGGAGGTAATTTAGGCCACGTGCCACATCAACTGCGATCTTGAGCCGCTGCGCCCAGGTCAGTGGAGGGCCTCTCCTCCCCGGCCGATCTGCTCAGTAACATAGACACAAGAAGGTTGAATTAATGGCTCAATAAGTTTATAGAATGAGGAGGTTCTTTATCAGATTATTAATGCATCTGCAGAAATTGGAAACCAACGAACTGAGAGCATTATAGTATTACCATACAAAAAGCTAGCCAGACTTCCGGGCGAAACATAGTCTGACAGGATGAGTTTCTCATGTGGTGTTGGACCCCAGTAGTATCCACGCAAGCCAACTACATTGGGATGCCGGATGTTTGCAAATTTCTTGGCCTCCTTGGTGAACTCTTTCTTGGGCCTCGCAACACCTTCTCTCAGCCACTTCACTGTCAAGAATACACCATTCTCCAACGTTGCCCTGTACGAAGTTCCGTGGCTGCTCCTCCCAAGCACTTCAGCTGGCGCCCTTGACAGCTCCTCCGGTGTGAGCGTGATGGTTTCATCCAGGAAGTGCAGCTCCCCTGCTAACCTGTCAGGTGACCTGACATCCAGCCATGCTAGGCCTTCCTGTCCATACGCCTCTCCAGAATCCGGTGACCAAGAGAAGCGGCTCCCCTTGGATGGTGAAAATGCCCCCACACCTGACAACTTCTCTTCTTGGCTCGGTGCTTCAGACGTGGAGCCCTTTCGAGGAGCACCAAGATCATCCGCCGACACCTCCGAACTACCTTTGTTGTCCTTTCTTTTCATGCTCTCAATGTCTTTAGTAGCCCTGTGGAGGTTCTTGTCAGAGACCTTCTCTGAGCTAGGGAACTGCCGTGAGATCCGCTTGTAGTGGCATACAATAGCAATAAGGATAAGGATGACAAGAAGAACAATGCTAGCTGCTACAAGTCCTATTTTAGCACCTGTGCTGAGTGATTTGCCACCTGCTGAACCAGAGTGGGAATTGCCGGATCCAGATGAGCTAGCTGGATACTCTAATCTCGAGTTCCCAGGATGGAAAGAAGATTCCGGGAACTTTCTCAAGTTCACAGGCACGACACCAGATAGGTCATTATAAGAGGCATTGAGGGACTGAAGAGTATCCGGAAGTGCGTCTGGCAGTGGCCCCGTGAACTGGTTCGTTGATATGTCAAGCGCAGTAAGTGCTACAAGCTTAGTGACAGTGGCTGGTAAAGCTCCAGAGAAGTTGTTTGAGGATATGTCAAGGACACGGAGGCCAGACAAGGAGACTACATCATCAGGGAGGCTGCCACTAAAATGGTTCCCAGAAATATCAAGCACTTCAAGACTCAAATTTTTGGACAAGGATCCTGGGAACGACACGCCACCAGTAAGCATGTTATCCTGGATGTAGAGCTCATGCAGCATGGAGGAAGAGAGTAGATTAGCAGGAATAGGACCACTAAACTGATTGGAGCTGAGGTCAAGGACAGTAAGTTTGGGATACAAAACAACAGCTTCAGGTATGGTATCAGCTAGAGAATTATGAGAAAGGTTCAGGTAGTTTAGGCGAAGGAATTGTGAGCTCACATCAGGCATACTCCCAGTTAGATTGTTCTGGCTGAGGTCAACATATTCCAAGTCATTGCTCCATTTGGTAAAAACTGATAAATTTCCTCGAAACTGGTTATTTGATAGATCTAACACAGTGCAGCTTCCAGCAAGCAATGGTAGATCCCCAAAAAGAGCATTTGAGGACAAATTAAGGATCTGCAAGGTTGTTGATGTGATCATATTGATATGACCTGCACAGCACAGAGAACTACAGTTAGTAGGAAAAAACTAACACTTAGAAACTGATGGGCAGATACTGAAAGATTATCATCATAGACAATGCCATGCTACAAAAGTAAAACTGCAGATAATTATGCATGCATTTACACATGGATTTTCCACATTTTTCTAATGCTGAGAAAAGGAAAGATAATTTTACATCGGACGCATCTGTGAAGCGTCAGATGCCAGTGCCATAATTATGAAATGGAACTGTACGACACAACCATAGCTTAGCTCTGTACTGCATAGGGCTAGCCAACAACACACGGCCTAGCGCTGTCCTGCATACTGTAGGCCACTCTACCTTACAGTGGTAAATGATCTACCAAGAAAGGTGAATGAAGCATGGCATCTGATAGGAAATTAACCCAGCAGAAGATTACTAATGAAACAATACACATGAACATGCTACTCTCATGCAATATGTACTGACAACAGAAATGCCTATTGCAGTTTATTTAAACAAAACAGTTTGGTTTGGTTTGTTTGGTCATCCTCCTTCACTTCTCCTTCAGGATATATATCCTAACTAATCTGCTTCTCATCATGTCAAAAAATATGCACATAATTATCAGCAATCTAATAGGTTTGGTGCGATGCATGAAATGCATAGCATACTTAATTTCACTCAACATAACTTCTCCATATCATCTGTAGTGTTATGCCATATGATCAACTCCCAACTATGCTAATGGGATATATATCTCTGTAACAACTTGACTCTGCACGCCCAAACTTTATCATGCGAGCAATCCCCAATCAAGTAGTTGCAAAGGAGAAAATCAAATTTAGTTTGTAGGCAATGCCACAGTAGGCAGCAATATGCACATCCATTTGCGCACAGAAATGTGATTCTGAACAGATAATTTGAAATATAGAATTGACAAACTGGTACCATACTAAGTCAACCACTGACCAGTGAGAGATCAACTTGTTTCCAGTAATCACCAGCTAAGATCATATTTGTCATAACAAAATCAGCTGACATAAATAAAGAAAGAAACCAGGTGCGAGATAAAAACCCAAAGAGCTGTAAATAGATGGATCAAACTTCCAATATAATCAGAATGAGCATTGCATGCCATGCATAAAATGAAATAGCGAGAGGACCAAAAACATAAATGCTGAATTAGAGCTTATACCTGTCAGGTTATTTGCACTAAGGTCCAGTTGGTTCAACACCAGAGAATCTCCCTTTAGAAGTCCACTAGGTACAAACCCAGTGAATCCATTGTTTGCAAGGCGCAAAACTTCAAGATCATATACATAATTGAATCCTGGGAGGTCTCCAGACAGCTCATTACTACTCAGATCAAGCACCTTCAACCTCCCAAAAGTTGAGAGCTCAACTCCATCTATCAGTGACCCGGTCAACTTGTTGTTGCTAAGGTTCAGATATACAACTGTCTCTGAAATATCTGCGAGAAACTTGAGTTCTTTGGGGGTGGTGCTGGTGAGCAAGTTTCCACTGAAGTCAACATGAGTAACAGTTGACTCGATCAAGAATTTCCAATCGACACCACCATCCAATTGATTCCAGCTCAGATCCACAGACTGGAGGTTCACAAGGAGGCCAAGCCCAGCAGGAATGCCCTTTGTGAAGGCGTTATATGAGA